TCCAACTCCTTTGCCTATAATTATCCACTGTTTCACAGTCTAGAATAATAAATGTGTTATTGAGTATATTATGGATCCATTCACTTTATCAGAAGCACATAATATCTGTAAATGGTTCTCTTTGGGTTGTCTCTTCATTCTGAGTGATCGATCATCATCTCTAGGTTCAGATTGTAACTCCTGAGTATTAATATCATGTTGCTGGTGTTTCTATGATCGTACTGGTTATTGCAGGGTATTTATACATTTAGAATATTTTTTTTTTGTAATTTTTTTATATTCCTTTCATGGACTTTTAAATTTTTGTTTCACTTGCTTGTGTACACTAAGGTCAGTGGTGTCACGTGGAAAGCATGTGCACAAAGTGGGAGGGTGATGTTGTGTAAATTCGTCTCAAAATTCATCTTCATTGTTTTTTCACGTCTACTCATCCAGGGCGAGTTGGCTGACCGTGCATGCTCAGCAACGCCCTGCTTAACACATTCACACTGGCAGCAGCCCAATTGAACCAGTCTGCCCAGGACCCGCTGGGGAGTTCTGGGCAAGGCGTAATGATAGACGAGGTGAGCTTGTTTCTCATTTCATTTCCTCCATCCAGGTGGTTTCTGCCATTATGTACAAAGGCCAACATCCTTGTCCATTTTTAAATGAATTCATTGTTTGTTTTTACTGCGATGTCACTGTTGTGCTCCTTTTTTTAATGTTTTCATGTAATTATTCTCTTGTTTTTTACTCGTCTATTTTGTCTGCTGTTTTTATTTCCATCATCTTTCTCTTTTATGTATATGCTCTTTAGTTTTCATTTTCTCACAGGCTATGGATTGTTTTGTTTTCTAAACATTACCAGAGTAGCCTAATAATCAGTGTTTTCTAAATGTTCTGACTACTGTATAACTGTAGGCGATAGAATTTATATTAATCTATTTATTTTCGTGGTGGTATGTATAGATATTCTTAATGTTACATTGTTCCTACACCTGTATCTTTGGGCTATGAAGGCTTTATGCCTGCCTGTGAAGCCAGGTCAGTAGCCTCAGTGCTGGGAGAGCAAGCTACACGTGCCCTGTGTCAGTGTTGTCAGTGGGTTTTACATGGTAAACAAAAGCGCATCATCAGGAGAACTGTCACAAAATCACTAAGCGAGCGCTGACCTGTGTCTCAGACCTGTGAAGTGAACATCAAGAGCAGACGTTCTGTTTCCACTTCATACCCTGGTGTGAAAGCTGTTTTAAAGCAATAGCATCACCGGCTCTGTTTCCCAACACTTTGACTACTGACACCAGTCAAACCTGAAGCGCTTCAAATGGAAAACTGGTATATTGCCTCTCAGCAGACTGATACACGCAGAAGGGCAAGGAAAAAGGGAAGCAATACACTAGACCATTCCTCACTGGAAAAGAGAAAAATATAAGGTATACATATATATAAATATATAGATATATTCAATAAAGTTCTATATGAAAATTGGTTGTGTGATGTGCATTTTTAGATGCATCAGTCACATGTGCTGGGTTGAGTGTAGACATTTAAATTTGCAGATGTTCATGGTTAATAAAACCCTGACCATCCACACCGTTTCACGTGTTAAAGGGCAGCACACTTTGGAAACACTGTGAAACACCAGCACCTATTGTAAGCTCACACAACAACATCTCGCCATGTGCCACCACCAATATCCTGTTTCTCTGCGTCGATGTATGCCGGCTTGTCAGAAATGCACAAATGCCGTAGTCACAATCCAGACAAACTTCCTGGCTCCAGTATTGTGATTAACTTTGTACATATCATACAACTGGTGTTTGCTGTGGGTGTCAGTTACTGTATGATGCGACTGGTGTGGTTCCATTTAAGAGCGGACACCATAGATGCAGTAAATAGAGGCCAAAGTTTAACTTTATGCACATTGTAATGAAAAAACCCATCATGTAGTGGCGTGCATGTTGGGTGCTGTCTCTAGTAAAGATGGACAAATGTTTGTGGAGGTTGTTTATTTGTAGTAAAGTGCTGAAGAAAGTTGCTAGTTTGTGAGTGTTGACATGCTGCAGTGACAAGTGGCGGGGGTGGTGTTGTGCGATTTGGTGGAATCCAGTGGGATGTCGCTAGTAAGACGTGCATGAGGACAGGCTGCTGTCAGCTCAACACAAACACTCCAGTTTTATCACACTCACACTGGATCAGCACATCCAGGCTGCTTGACGACAACCTCCGTCCTTTTGGTGTCTGGTGTGTGCTGTAACATGACGCGGAGTGTTTCATGTTTTGCAGCAGCTTTACTACTCGTGTCAGTGCACTGACAGACACCTTGCAGCATTCACACAAATCGACGAGGCCTGTTGTTGGGATGGATAGATGGAACAAAACAATACTGTGGAAGAGTCATTTGAATCTGAGCTAAAAAAGGAAATGGTACAGGCCATGACAGGCTGTAATTAAGACAGTGCTGTCCCTTAATAATGCTGCAACGTCGTCTCTGAAGAACAGCACAGAGAGTGACTGTCAGCCCCGGGGACATGACAGTTTTTAATCCCGCTGACAATAGATCCGCTGGCAGAGCACACTGGAGACGGAGACGTGTTTGCTTGAAGCAGCGAGGACTGTGATTCTGTGTCAAAGCTTTAATTAGTTGGCCTCTCTGTGTCTGGTAATCCTGAAGCTACAGTTTGTCTGTAGGTGTATTTAGATAGGAACCTCCATCATGTTACAGCTGTGTGGCCAGCACACCGGGGTTCTCCCATGGTGCACCTGGCCCTCCTGTGTTATTCTGTCTGCAGCCAGCAGCACAGTTGTCATACATATCGTAAGGAGGGATAATAGCTGCCTCCTTGTGTCAGCTTTCATGAGTCCATAGGAGTGTGCCACCTGTGAAGACATTCTGCATTTTAATTTCCTCTCTTCATTCAGTCTGATGCTCATTGTGCAGCTGTCTCTCCTTCCAGGGCTCTTTGGTGCTGGAAAGCGCATGCCTGCAGTCGCTGATAACGGCTCCAGGCTGGCTGACGGACAGCCATATGCCGGAGGGGAGGTCTGTCAGTCAAGATTACACTCTCATTTCCTCTTCTCCTCAAATCCTTCCTTGCTCCCAGAGATCCCACGACAGAAACTTGGGCTGTCTTGAGCCCTCGTGAAAACCCAAACACACACTGACAAGATTCATACTCTATTTTTGTAACGTCTGTCATGGTGCACACACACACACACACACACACACACACACACACATATCTATGTCCACATTAGAGCCTAAAAGACTTCAGTTTGTGAAGTTAAATCCCAACTTTTTGAATTACAAACTACAGACCTCACATATTACTAGCAAGAAACAACAGCCTCTATTCATTTTACATAAGTGACAATAACTCTTTCCATTAAAACATCCAACATCACAGTAATAGGACGTATTTTAGGGCACAGGGACTTGAACCTAATAGAGTGACTTTAAAATCACTGTTTAAGCCAATGTGTCATTTCACCATCAGCCACAGTCTCAGTTACCTGGTGGGAAGTGAGAAGCTGCACATACAGTGTGGTAGTAGCAGCTGAGGTGGGGGCTGCAGAGAGTCAGGTGTCAGAAGAAGGCAGTTCATGTTGCAGTAGGACACAAAATCACTAAGCGAGCGCTGACCTGTGTCTCAGACCTGCAAAGTGAACATCAAGAGCAGACGTTCTGTTTCCACTTCATAACCTGGTGTGAAAGCTGTTTTAAAGCAATAGCATCACCGGCTCTGTTTCCCAACACTTTGACTACTGACACCAGTCAAACCTGAAGCGCTTCAAATGGAAAACTGGTATATTGCCTCTCAGCAGACTGATACACGCAGAAGGGCAAGGAAAAAGGGAAGCAATACACTAGACCATTCCTCACTGGAAAAGAGAAAAATATAAGGTATACATATATATAAATATATAGATATATTCAATAAAGTTCTATATGAAAATTGGTTGTGTGATGTGCATTTTTAGATGCATCAGTCACATGTGCTGGGTTGAGTGTAGACATTTAAATTTGCAGATGTTCATGGTTAATAAAACCCTGACCATCCACACCGTTTCACGTGTTAAAGGGCAGCACACTTTGGAAACACTGTGAAACACCAGCACCTATTGTAAGCTCACACAACAACATCTCGCCATGTGCCACCACCAATATCCTGTTTCTCTGCGTCGATGTATGCCGGCTTGTCAGAAATGCACAAATGCCGTAGTCACAATCCAGACAAACTTCCTGGCTCCAGTATTGTGATTAACTTTGTACATATCATACAACTGGTGTTTGCTGTGGGTGTCAGTTACTGTATGATGCGACTGGTGTGGTTCCATTTAAGAGCGGACACCATAGATGCAGTAAATAGAGGCCAAAGTTTAACTTTATGCACATTGTAATGAAAAAACCCATCATGTAGTGGCGTGCATGTTGGGTGCTGTCTCTAGTAAAGATGGACAAATGTTTGTGGAGGTTGTTTATTTGTAGTAAAGTGCTGAAGAAAGTTGCTAGTTTGTGAGTGTTGACATGCTGCAGTGACAAGTGGCGGGGGTGGTGTTGTGCGATTTGGTGGAATCCAGTGGGATGTCGCTAGTAAGACGTGCATGAGGACAGGCTGCTGTCAGCTCAACACAAACACTCCAGTTTTATCACACTCACACTGGATCAGCACATCCAGGCTGCTTGATGACAACCTCCGTCCTTTTGGTGTCTGGTGTGTGCTGTAACATGACGCGGAGTGTTTCATGTTTTGCAGCAGCTTTACTACTCGTGTCAGTGCACTGACAGACACCTTGCAGCATTCACACAAATCGACGAGGCCTGTTGTTGGGATGGATAGATGGAACAAAACAATACTGTGGAAGAGTCATTTGAATCTGAGCTAAAAAAGGAAATGGTACAGGCCATGACAGGCTGTAATTAAGACAGTGCTGTCCCTTAATAATGCTGCAACGTCGTCTCTGAAGAACAGCACAGAGAGTGACTGTCAGCCCCGGGGACATGACAGTTTTTAATCCCGCTGACAATAGATCCGCTGGCAGAGCACACTGGAGACGGAGACGTGTTTGCTTGAAGCAGCGAGGACTGTGATTCTGTGTCAAAGCTTTAATTAGTTGGCCTCTCTGTGTCTGGTAATCCTGAAGCTACAGTTTGTCTGTAGGTGTATTTAGATAGGAACCTCCATCATGTTACAGCTGTGTGGCCAGCACACCGGGGTTCTCCCATGGTGCACCTGGCCCTCCTGTGTTATTCTGTCTGCAGCCAGCAGCACAGTTGTCATACATATCGTAAGGAGGGATAATAGCTGCCTCCTTGTGTCAGCTTTCATGAGTCCATAGGAGTGTGCCACCTGTGAAGACATTCTGCATTTTAATTTCCTCTCTTCATTCAGTCTGATGCTCATTGTGCAGCTGTCTCTCCTTCCAGGGCTCTTTGGTGCTGGAAAGCGCATGCCTGCAGTCGCTGATAACGGCTCCAGGCTGGCTGACGGACAGCCATATGCCGGAGGGGAGGTCTGTCAGTCAAGATTACACTCTCATTTCCTCTTCTCCTCAAATCCTTCCTTGCTCCCAGAGATCCCACGACAGAAACTTGGGCTGTCTTGAGCCCTTGTGAAAACCCAAACACACACTGACAAGATTCATACTCTATTTTTGTAACGTCTGTCATGGTGCACACACACACACACACACACACACACACACACACATATCTATGTCCACATTAGAGCCTAAAAGACTTCAGTTTGTGAAGTTAAATCCCAACTTTTTGAATTACAAACTACAGACCTCACATATTACTAGCAAGAAACAACAGCCTCTATTCATTTTACATAAGTGACAATAACTCTTTCCATTAAAACATCCAACATCACAGTTATAGGACGTATTTTAGGGCACAGGGACTTGAACCTAATAGAGTGACTTCAAAATCACTGTTTAAGCCAATGTGTCATTTCACCATCAGCCACAGTCTCAGTTACCTGGTGGGAAGTGAGAAGCTGCACATACAGTGTGGTAGTAGCAGCTGAGGTGGGGGCTGCAGAGAGTCAGGTGTCAGAAGAAGGCAGTTCATGTTGCAGTAGGACGTGGCTAGAGACCTGTGTCAAGCCAATTGGTCAAATGAAAATCAGTGAGTCGTTTTCTAACCGAGCAAACAGACGATCATTTCAGTCAGTAGAGTGGAAGTTTGACCTCGCTGGTCCTCGACAGCCTGTCTGAATGCTTCATGTTCTGTATTACTGTGGTTAAGCTTTGCCTTGTGTGTGTGAGTGTGCAGGAGCACATTTCTCTGATATTCATGTACTAACCAGCAGGTGAAGCTGTATTTTTGTGAGCTTTGAAAGAATGCAGAGTCTTTAATTTCACTTCATATGTGTGAAGGCTGTCTAGCTGTGCAACATTCAGGACATTTTAATTTAATATCTCTGATGCCGCAGACTTAGACAGTACTGTGTTAGAGCTGCGTTTGCTCTGAATTGCACAGTTTAAATGTTCATCTGGGTTTGTGCTCACTGGTGTAACTGTTAGAAATGTCCAGCTAACTTCTCCTTCACACATATCCATTAGTGCCACTAAAATTTAAGAGCTTAATATCAGTTTTCACCTAGCATGCTTTTCACTGATGGAGGAGAGTATTTTCTTTCTGACGGATTGGATGATGCTGAGAGTGAATGACTTCTGGGGGGTGCATCTTAAATGTGATTCTATCTGTACACACACTGATCAGAATTACGAAAAATTAAAGCTACAACACAAATTATGTTGGGCAAGTGGTAACATTTAACAGGAAATAACACTTTGAACTCACCAGTAAAAGAGTCAATATTTCATCCTGAATGTCAGTAGAGACCATCACTAAGCAATTGTCATTTACATTGGAGGGGGTGCTGACTCTAAGTTTTAACAGCCTAGGATCTGTACTCACTTCACTTGATCACTTCTTGTATTAATTTGAGAATGATAACTTGATTCTCTGCGTGGCAATAAAGCGGATTGGATGACGGTGGGAATGCATGACGGCAGGAGTTCAGTGTAAAGCACGTTGTGACTGAGCTGACAGTGTGATCATTTAAGTGTGTATCATCATATCTGTGCATTACTGCACACAGATCAGAGATCCTGTGAGCACACAGGGACCTTAACAAGGGAATATGAGAGGGTGTTTGTATGCACAGCTTGCCTCCAGGTTTGTGTTTCTCCTGCTACGTCAGTCCTATTGGCCACGGTCTATATTTAGCCAGGAGGTCGCAGCCAAACAGTGTGGGAGATGCTTCAGAGAGAGTGGAAGGAGGTCAACATGGTGAGATGTGCTGTAAGCAGGAGAACAAGAACCAATCCAGCAGTTAGTGGAGGGAGAGGGGGTTGTGGAAAGGCTGGAACTGCAAGTCAGAGGAATCAAAACACTGCATGAAAACCCTCACACGTCCATCAGTGTCATTCTAAAAGACCATGAACCGGTCCGTTCACTTCAAAGTTGTAATACAACATGATTCGGCTCACTTTTTAATGCTATGTTCACATGCTGCAGAAAATAGCAGACTTAGGACCCGAGTGTGTCATGACTGATAAAAGGTAAACGAGCCATGCTGGTCGTCTGGCAGGCTAAGTATGCACTGTATCATGTAACTGGAACATCCTGAGTTCAGATTTAGCCACGGACTGTTGTTGTATGTCATAGCTCTAAGTTTTTGTCTCTGAACTGCAAAAACTTGCTCACATCTAGTATTAAAAACCAGAAAGACCAGAGAAAGTTGGGCTTTTCTGCCCTACGAGATTAGTTTTTCATTGTAGTTTGACACCTTATGTCACAGGAGAACAGGGAACTCATTCGCTGTAGGTTTGATGGTATATTTGTTATAACAGTGTTTATAGGCTTCAGTGATCTGTTCAGCAGTTAATAAAAAAAGGTAAATGTGCATATTACATGCTGCTGTGTTTAATGTCAAAGCTACAAATGAACTTACTGTAACATTTTCAAAACTTTAGTTTTAGAAAAGGTCACTTGAAGACATTTGTGGATATTTTAAAAACATAGGTTATGTGAAATTATCCAGAACAACGACAACACTCCTGCGCAGCAGCAGTATCTGCCTAATCTCACATATGTGGCTAGTAAACAGTATTTTTTATGTTTTATGAGGAGGTGGAAGGTGGCCCGGTGCATAAAATCAGCGACTGAGGAGGCAGCGAGTGTAAGCTGAGAACGTGATGAGAGTGCAGAACAGGAGAGAAATGGAACCTGGGAGAGGATGATATTAAATATTCATGTCATGTTTAATAATAAAATGAAGTAATTCATACACAATTGATCAAAAAAGTCACAGAGACAGTTGACCTTCCCTTCAGACACTTTTTTCTGACATAAATCATCAGAGAAAAACAGCGAAGGTAAGAACATGGCAGCGTCTCACACATGAAGCTGATTTAACGCAGCGTCACTTCTGCTCCATTACATTGTTTTCTAGTTGCATGTATGTATAGCACCTACGTTACACTTTGTTTAAATTAACAGCGTATTCTCATGATATATGCCGTATCTTGTGACAGCTCATGATAAAATGACAAGTTGCATTCACAGTAATGCTTCTGGGCAGACACAGATACATTTATATAGACTTAAATAAATGAAAATAGATGAGATAAATGAATTGTGAATGTACCGGTACATGTATTGCCAAGTAACATCTGTCTCACAAGATCCAACATAAACCGTTAAAAGGCAGCTCTGCAGAAGGGAAGGCACTGGAGGACAAACATAATACATCACTGAGTAGTTTCTTGAAGGAGGATCTCAGATTGGACGCCAATAAACTGTTCAGTTCATTCAGTGTAGAGTGTATGTCTGAGGGTGCTGACGGTTGTCTTGTTACCTGAGCAGACAGGTGGCTGCTTCAAACAGAAGCAACAGCAAATGGTCAGTGTTTTGAGCAAGACGACCATCATTAAGCATTTCCTATATTTGATCAAACAGTTCAAATAATTTCCTCATGATGCTGTCTGAAGTTTCCCAGAATGAACACGTGTAGCAAATGTCTCATCTGAAAATATAAAAGTGAATATGTCTTTAACTAGTTTGCACACACATTCAATGGAAATAAAGGGTAATTAGGCAACTTAAATTACCAGCATCATGCTTCACAAACATATTAATATTCAGGTTAGCTAGACTTCAGTAAATGAGTAACACTTAGATGTTTTTTCACTGTTTTCGTTAAGTATTGTTTACCAGTAAATTCCTATCAAAGGGCTAGGACTGCTAAGTTATGACTGTCTCAAATGAACATTAAACAGTAAGTTTCCTCCAAACCCTGTAAAATGATAAGTAAGACAATAGAGGGCTGTTTCCCAACCATGTCGAAGCATCGAGATCCCCAGACCTGACACGTTTAAAAGCTCTAGCCTACTTCACTGTAATTTGGCATTAGAGTTTGTAGCACCAAGCTCGTACCAGGTTCACCAGCAGGATGAACTTTAACAAGGTAGGTAATAAATCAAAGAAAAAAAAACTATCTCAAATTGACTTTTACTAATCTTTTTGGTAACAAACTTAATAAAATAGAGATAATGTTTAACTCTGCCAAAAGCAGAATAGTATTGGAGCGTAAGTGAATCTTTTAACAGGAAGTAGATGTTTGATCATTGTCATGACTTAGTGGGTCAAATGACCAGTACCAGTTTCCCATAAGTATGAGCAACCTCTTTGCTAAGACGTCTTTGGGACATAAAAAGCGCAACGCCACCTCCAGGACACTAGCTGCTGCTGCTATTCTGAGCGAAACACCTCTGCCAGGGGCTGCAGGGCAGCGCCAGCAGCAGGAAGAGGACCCCACCCACGATGAGAATGGCGCCCGCACAGCCGATACACGACACCGACCAGGAGAGCTCGTGGTGAAGAGGAATCGTGTGGTCGCTGGCCAGGAAAGCCAAGACCGACTGGTGGAAAACCACAAGAGAGAGAAGCACCAGGGTGCCTGTGGGGGCCCAGAGGAGACAGGTCAGTGACTCATTTCCACATTTATTTTGAGATTTTGAGAAAAGGTTGTCAGTGTGTTGCTGTTTCTACTGACCTGACAAAATAAAGCATACTGATGCTGGTTTGAGGAAGAACAGGATTTCTTTACTGAGTGCCATGGTGATGCATATGGCCCCCATCACCATCAGGAAGAGGCTGAACAGGGCCAACATGGCTGCTGCTACATTCAAATCTGCACAGGTAAGGAGGCAGGAAAATAAAAACTGCTATTGCTATTTTAATTCATTTCTTCACATTTAACAGGGATAAACACTGGTTCACCACATGCCACCATTTACACAGGTTTGTAGCCAGCTACTCCCATCCAGAAGCTGCTTTCTTTTCTGTTAGAGACACAGCCATGTCCTGTAAAGACCTTAACAGTTGTGTTTAAGCTGCTTGAGTGGCTGCAGCAAAGTGTCTTTGCAAAACAAAGCTAGCTTTGGGCTTGTTTTGCATGATCATAAATGATAGTTAACATCTGAAAAACATGAAACTATTTCCCAGAGGTGGTTGGCATGCTGCTTGCATGCAGATGGCAAATGGCGGCAGCGTCATAGTTCACAAACACTGTAACTGTCACTCATAAAATGCAGATAAATTCCAACAGGGATGATGCAGGGGTTCTCATATGTTGTGTTTTGATTAATGAAATGTGTCAAAATGAGTGAGAGAACATGATGTTATGTTGTACACCACAGCTGTCACAATCCTGGTCACCCACTCAGGCCCCTGTTATTTTCCGGACTCTTCCATGAGCTGCTGTTCCCCCTCCGGCCTCCAGATGTCCTCTGACTTCCTCTCTGTTTCCTATCACCTGATTACTCTGCTCTCCTGAGCACCTGGTTCCCATTCACCAATCAGTTCTCCAGTGTGTAGACCAGCCTGTGGCCCTTTGTCCCTTCAGGTTGTCATGGTTTTGCTGTTTCCTGTGGACTGTTCTTCAGGTCTTCTGTTACCTGTTTACCTGCCTGTTCTGTTTGGGTTTACCATCTGTGTTTTGGACATTATCTTTTGCCTTATTCACTGGATTTATCCCCTGTGTCAGATTGTCTGTTCATCATGTGCTGCTGTCTGCTCCTCCTGTTTCCCCTGCCTGACTTTGTTTAGCCTGGACATTCAATAAGTCTGTTTTAAGTTTCACTTTTGTACTGCATCTTTCTGTCTGCTTGTTTGTCTGAAATTGGGTCCTTTCTATCTGGTGTTGTGATGTCAGCTTGCATGATGCAAAGTTGGTGTGAAACAAGCCCATGGAAATCCCAATTATGGAGTCATAGATTTGCAGTAACTTTCAATGTGGCTCAGAATTTAGGGTCAGACTTCTGATGTGTTCTGTTCCCTTAAGAAAAAGCTAATTCGGGAGGCAGCACTACTGCGTAAAACTCAATGCAAAGAGTAGATGACACATCATGAACATTAATTTGAGTAGTGCAAATTAAGGCGATGAGACATCAAGGATGAAAATATTCATGGATTAGTAAGAACTGACATGACAGTACAGAGCAGAAGAGGGAGTGGTACAGGAGCAAATAACAAAGCTTCTGAAAATAGTGATGTATATTTAGCTCAGTCTGATTTGTCATACAGTTAAGCAGTAGTGGAAGAAGTACTCAAAACTGTTTAAGTAAAAGTATGTGAAAGACAACAGATTTTTTAACCTGTTATTTAATGAATATAACTTCATCTCCTGTGCTCAGGTGACTGTTCTAAGAGAGTTTTATTCCAATGATGATTTTCTATCATTAAGGGCGACTTGTATGAAGTATTAATACATCACTCTATACAGCACAGTCGTGACTGTTTATGAAGTCACCATATTGAGGCCTATAGCGTAACAGTGATGTGGCATCAGGAAACAAACAGATCTTAATGAGCGCCTGTCTTTCTCCATTCAGTATATGGCTTTGTGCACTCTTATTACATTACAGAGCTGCCAGGGAAGTGAGAGGTTAGCTCAGACGCTTGAACGCAGCGTAGGCGGAATAGATTCAAACGCTCACAGAGCAGACAACCTGACAGAGCGTGGAGAGGAGGTGAAGGGAGACAGAGGACCATAAAAAAACAATGGTTTATTGTGGGAGAGATGGCAGGCAGGGGGCTTAAAGAGAGGGAGCAGAAGAAGAGAAGGATGAAGGGGCAAAGAAAGGAGGGAGTGGGTGGACAAGGTGGGACGGCAGCTGAGAGAGGCCAAGAGAGCCGTAAGAGGTGCATGACTCACTCTTGTGTGTCGTCTTCTGAAACATCACGGCATTTTCCCCCGTGGTGAAAAACTTGAAGTAGGTGCAGTTTGATTCTGCAAGAGGGAGGAAGAGAAACAACTACTGTTAATGACACAGACCAACACTGGCTTTGCTGTTTTCATTTAAACCCACCTCCATCTTTGTGCCTTTTTCCATCTTAATTTGCTTTGTAGAGTCATCAACCCACTCCTGAATGGATGTCACACTACTGCACTTATACCCATTTCTTAAATATTCCTTTTAGATTCAAGTACTTTAGCAAACCAGAGATCATAGTTCGTAAAATCTCCCAGAATGCCTGTGAACAGGGTCAGATAATTAAGAATATGTTGTACTACTTCTCCAAAGCCTCCCGTATCCTCACAGTCCCAGAGTAAGTGAAGTTTTTCTTCAAGCATTTTTACATAAACAACTGCCAGGTTTGTTCATTTTTCCCGTGTATGATACAGTGTAGTGACTTGTTGTAATAGCTGTTGACAATCTTGATGGAATCCTTTTGAAACTCAAGGAGCCACATCTCTCTCAGCCCTGTACAAGTTTCTGTTATTCTCCATCAAACATAACGGGCCGTGAGCTCAAGGTGATGATCCGATGCTTCCTGCACAATTAGCATGTGCCCTCCTGAGGATGCGTTACAGCAGTTGGTCTAGCTGTCAAATAGTTTCTGACACTTCTATTGGTTCGTGCAAGCGAAACGCACACATGCATCCATCATAACTGGACCGATCAAAGCCACATCCTCCAGGCAGGCACTGCTGCACTCATATCCCCTCAGCTCATCAGAGGCTGCTGCAGCACAGCAGTCAGGCTCCTTCCACTGACCACAGAATACACACCTTAATCCAACAGCTCGCGGTGTTCTATCACAGGTGTCAGAAACTAAATGGTTTCATCATGTGTCACCTGAGAGAACAATGTAGCTGAAATGATTTACTCCACACACTGAAGTTACTGCTGCTCTGTTATGAAAGTACTGTGACTACAGATGACCAGCTGCAATCAGATTCAAAAAGATGTGATTTTTGACAAGTCAGCATTTATTGTTAAGCTCGGAAACGAGATGGCCACTTTGTACATCTCAGATATTTGCATTTAAAACCTGTTTTTACTTCTGATTATCTTTTGGTGTTCCAGTGTGTCAAATTTTGCACTTTGGCCAGCTAGTGTTGGTTCTGTGTGTGTTTTTAATAAGACTACCTTAACAGTTTGTCAGTTATCAGAAATAGCCAGTGGGATGTTGTTCAGATTTTGGGTTTCTTTGGCCCCATGGTTTTTATAGAATAGCTAGTGTGTCATCTGAAATAGAAAGGGTTGGTAGACCTCTCTATCACTGTACCATTGGACTGTTTCCGTGATGATGACGACAGTCCGTATAATAAAGTTTGCCACATTGTTGATTTCCTGTTGTGCACACATCTACCTTCCTCAGTTTGGTTTTGTTTTGCTTTTTATGTGAGTCATTCTTCAGAAGGGGAAGTGAGGTCCAGCATAGTGAGTGGGAAAAGGAAGCCATACTGCAAATTGCTTTAATAATCTTTTGCCATTCTTGATGAAAGAAATGGTGAATGTCATTTTCAATGCCTGTAATAAGAAGCTCATGAAAAGATACAACTCCAAAACCTACAGTAAAAGGAAAATATGAAGGGGCATGTGATGGTAGGAGCACTGGGCCTGAATCTTCAGAACCTAATGGGACCTTGTTGCATTCAATTGTAAAAATATTATTTTAATTTGTTGTTTGTTTGGTCAAACAAACCAGAAACATAGGTGCCATTATGTTGCATCAGAAAACTTCTATTTTTGTACGTGACCCAGAAGTATAACTTGGACTCGGACTACATCGCAGTGACTCGGCCAAGAAGTCAGTCAGACCTCTCATTCATCCTAACTCGCTCCATCAGCCTGTTTGTCAAACATCCAGTCAGCAAGCTGCTCACACATTCCTCTCTATCTGGGTCGATATCAGCCACCCACAGGGTCTTGGTGCAGCCCTTCCACAGGCCGTAGTGCGCTGTCAGACATGTCTGCAAGACAAGCATCAAAATCTTTCTTTGAGACCAGATCAGCAGTGATGTTCTTTGCTCGTCCGTTAGAGTCTCAGCTCTCTGGACACAGTTGCCTACAGTGTAGATGTGGTTTTAATCTGTTGAATGTTTTTGTCTTGGAGAAAACATCCCTGACAGGCTAATGAGGCCTGAGACACAAGTGACAGGAATTTACTTTACACTTTCACAGCACATCCTTAGCACCCTCGTTATTAGGCATCTATACAAGTCTTGAACACAAGCCTCTATTTTTTACCTCGTTGTTATAGAAACTCTTTGGAGGCGCCAGCTCCACCCAGAACTCTGTCCCCACCCCGAGCACCGTCAGGACTACGCCCACAATGGCCACGAAGAATGCCAGCTTGATCTAGTGACAGAACATAATACAGAACAATTTCAGTATCATATAGTAACTTGAAAAACATTTTGTTTGCAGTACTGAAACTGACTTCTTTCAGCAGCCTGCACTGACCTGTGTTCAAGGTGGAGGTCCTTTACTGCCTGACTCTGGCTTCTCTTCAGCTTTAAGTGTAACAGACTTTGTACAGCTGACTTGAAATATGCAATACTGTGGGTGTTCTCTCTGTATGTAAATGCTGCTGGAAGCTGTGTAACTTTGCCAGTTTGTGGCAGATACTGTATGCCAGTGGTAGGCTCTGTAGCTCTTGTTTACATTAACCTGCATAGGCTGGACAGCTTTCTGAATATTTTCTGTAAATCTGACTTTCTCTTGCCATTAATTTAAACATTAGTCATGATTTGTGGATATGAAATACAGATTTATAAATAAAGGAACAAAGACCTGACATAGCCATGGATTTTTGTAAGAACATTTTTCTATATGGATGCACTTGTCACTTTTGTCCAAATTAAAGTGATCAAAACACAGTATGAAGCCGGTCACCTTTCCCTCCTGGGCTTCACTCATGCCGTGTCCTGTTGACGTCACCCTGCGACCCCTTTTGCCCCCAAACGTACTGCGTCCGCTCATCAGGCTGGCCAGGCCCACTGCACCTTGACCACCTCCTGGTGCTGCCGCAGTTCCTGCTACCACCGGACCCACAGGGCGGCCCTCCTCATCGGTCATAAAAAACGTAGACCACATTTTGTACAAGATAGAAAACGACTACAACAGCTGTCTGGAGCTCAGTTTGTCAGCCAAACTTGCTTTGAGCTGTGCCCTCTACAGGGGCTGTGAAGTTCCAGCAGTAGAAAAATTAAAGACAGGATCAAGATCAGAGGAAACTTGTTGTGAATTTGCAGGTTGTGCCCAAAAAGAAAATGAAAAGCAGCAATAGTGAAGTAAAAGGTATTACAGGTGTACAGAAAGGACGAGGGAACGGAGCAAGAAGGAGGTAGACAGATATGAACTGTGTGTAATAAGAACTAATGGGAAAAAATGTAAGTCTACAAAGTCTCCTTGGTAACGGAAACTAAACATAAAATGTCTCTGGAAACCTTAGTGGGAAAATGCAGGACTGGGCCTTCTCCGGAGAAATCCCTTCAGAAAAATTGGAGGTTTGGATGACAGAAGCAGAACTGGTAAAAGAATCATCATGAAAAAGAAATCGCAGAGTAGAGATGCATAGAAAACTGTATCCACTGAGTGTCAGAGGTAGAGGTCAGGAGGGAATGACGGGATGCTTCCTAAGGAGGAGAGTACAACGAGGAAAGTAATTAGTATCATGTAGTACTGATTACATCTTGTACAGTTAAATGATAGCTTTTGTAGGAAAGTCAATGTAGACACCACTGATCTCTTCCCCGACAAATGAAATTTGACCTCGCACAGCCGGTGTTGCCAAGTCGGCCTATTTGACATGACTTGGACTTGTTTTGTGTGCCTTTCTTTTTTCTTTTTCTCAAATCCACGTTCCCTCAAACATTAAGTGGCAGACTGAAGCGTAGCACTATTAGCTTAGATGAGCCTCATGGCCAGTGCAAACGAGAAGCCCTCCCTTATCATGAAGGTCTCAGGTTTGGGACACCTCCTAGTGAAATGCACTGGACAAAGATGTCATATTTGTATATTTTGCTCCAGTTTGCCACTTATTTCATTCTTTCAGTGGTGATTGAGTATTTTATTTGAAATGGCCACCACCAGTAAACCCGAATAAACAGGCATGCTACAAATGCTGTTTCCATCATTTAAACAGCCCTTCCAACAGATAAAAAAAATAACTTCACATTTTACAATGTGCTGGATCAGTTAATGTAGAATCATCACAGCTGCTAGAAGTGTTCTTGTTATTCTTATTAGTGGTTGGTGGACAGTAGCGCAACGCAGACATAAGTCAAACAAGTGTATGTGGTTTTCTTACAGCATGTGCATGCAGCATTTGTCGGACTCAAGCCTGCAGCATATAGTAGAGTTAAAACTGAAGTCATACTGTAGGAACATCAGACAAGTGCAAGACAAACATGAGGATTAATGACTGCATTTGCTTTTGTTACTGTAGAATTTATCATGCACACCTATAGAAACTCCTCAGACTATAGCATTGTCAAACAAATACGAGTCTTCTTCTCTAAAATTAGTCCATGCGGTTTGTCCTAATGGCAGTGATGAACATGGATTACCAAATGCAAACAAAACCTGTTCCGCTACAACAACTTAGCTGGGTAAAAACATACTGTTAATGGTCAAGAAGACAAGCTGTTACAAAGGTTCAGGGAACTTTTAAGAACAACAAATAAAAAAAAGTCTGATGTCCTTACTCATCAAATCTGGGCACGGCTCTCCTTATAAGGCATCCAATTGGACATATGGGAAAAATAGCTTTGAAGCATGAGGAAGAAAATCATTACAGCGGCTGTGACCGTTCAGACCTTTAACAAGTTCAGTCTCTGAAAATATCCTTGTCACAGCCTCCAAAAATAAGTGAACGTAGACTCGTCGTCGAAGGAGAAAGTTCCTATGTGTCACCCACAGCAAACTGGACTCCATAAGCATTCTGCACAGGCAATGCTTGACCAGGCCAGTTGAGCTTTATGGCCCCCACCCACCAACTCAAAACAGCAGCCACAACATTTCACGCTGAATTTAGACGCATAAGTTTTATTTTCACACACTTTAACATGTGCAACACTCACCACCATCTCACAAATCTCACAACAATGAAGTTAACAAATTGCTGACCTGGTTTGTGTGTGTGTGTGTGTGTGTGTGTGTGTGTGTGTGTGTGTGTGTGTGTGGGTGGGTGTGTGTGTTTCTGCTCAGAGTGATGGAGGTGTGAGGAAGGGGGGGTTGGACGTCGAAGTAGGGATTAGTGTTATTCCTAGGTGGGGGCTAGAGGTGGAGAGGAAAAACACATCAGCTAAACTACCATCTGTGTGTGTCTGTAAATGTGCACACATACATTTAGGCATGTAGACTACATAACTGTGTGTGTGCGCATGTGCAGGCCCTTGTGTTTGTGTGTCCCATGATCCTAAAGTGTGTGGTTGGAGGGGGAGGGATGTGTGTGAGGCGTGCACTCGCACTGTAGCTTCTGTAAGTGAATCCGTTTGTTTACGCTAACGTGGAGTCTCTCAGCTTTAAAATGTGTGTGGAAATTGGTCACGCTGTGCACATACACTGCCCCCCACCTGTTAATGACATTAAAGCCGACCCAGGGGAAAGGGCCGCAGCAGGGGCCTGTGTCAGCTCAACCCTGGCTGTGAGACTCATGTCTGCAGGCGCTCCTACGATCTCGCTGAGTGAAGAGGGGGGGATTGTAGATTCAGCACCTCGAAAACAAGTATCGCTGTAGGTGGGCTCACGTGGTCAAAGCCATGAGACTGATTCCAGCCAGACACTGAGAACCTGATACCCCGTCGTTACTGGCTCAGAACACAGCAATGGATCCACTTTGTCTGGACTAAAATCAGTCTCTCTTTACATGTTTAGTGTTAAAAGTATTCAACTGTTTAAATTGCTGTGTTCCCTAAAATACATTGAACACAGTGATAAAAAGATAAAACGATGCCAAAATGGCCTCTTGTGTACACGCCAGATCGGTTGCACTAATTGTTCCTTGTACCAGAAGCATCTGGCTGAGGACTAAGCACCGTTGTGGGTTTTATTTTCTGTACTACTGGAATCTGCCATTAGCAAAGTGTGTCCCAGGCGACTTGTTTTGCTATGATGGTGTCAGTCCTGGTGTGAATGTTAGAATTATTGTGAAGCTAATTTTAAAAGCTTATCTAATGCACTTTAGTCCATGACAGTCACCAATCAGACCATTTACAGGGGTAGTCGGACAAGATGCAATCTGACTGACTTAAGACTACTCGTAGTAAATACTTTCGACTGCCTTTGCAGATCAGTGTAACAGTATATTCATTCAGTTCCATACACCTGATCAGAGGGTCAGCGAGTGTCTGGTCCTCCCACTGCCTGAGAAAGATGCGGAAAGGGAGAATGCTGCAGTCAGATGTGCCTGGCATTGTGATAAATGGTGTGTGTGCATGCAGGAAGGACAGGTGGACCTGGAAGACTGAATGTGAACGAGAGAAGGATTAGGTGAAACAGCAAGACGGCTTGAGAGGAAAGAAGAATCAGAGAATGATGGACAGGGAGAGGAGCTCTAGGAAAAATTATTTAAAACACATACTTAACCGCTGTACTGCTGACACTGTAAAGGTTGATGGTTTACTTTTCTTTTGGGGGAGGGAGGGGGGGGTTGAAGAAACACATGCAGATCGTGGCGGCCTGTTGGTGTTCCCAACCAGGCACACCTCTTCCTTTTTCCTCACTCAAACTGTGACTCATGCAGGTGTTGACAGAAACTTCTCTGTACCTCATGCATTCTTTTTGTTCGTTCTCTCTGTGACCTTGTTGGCCATCAGCGACTCTCTTCCATCTTTAGTTGTTGTTATATAGAAGACAATTAGACATAATCATCCATCTGCGTCAGCACTGACCTGCAGGTCACGCTCCTGATCATCATATTTAAATCCTGTTCTGCTCTCTTGATGATGTGTTACAGTAATTATGGCACAGCAGAACTCAGACAAAGGGATTGTTGTGTTTTCTGTGAGTGCCATTCAGTTCACAACTGAAGTTTTATATATTTTAGTTCCTGTGTTGTTCTCGTCCGTGTTACTGTAACTAGCCAGCAGTCTTCTGCTTCTGTTGGTGCACTCTAAGATTCTCTGCATGTTACCACCACTAAATTGATTTGTGGAATATGGCATTAAACAACTGGCAAACTGTGTTGTATCACATGTGCCTGATATAAACCAAATGGGGACCTGCTGCTAGTGGTCCACAGCTCCACAGGGAAAATTCAAGTTATTTTAAACTTTAGTGTTTTGATGCTGCCGTGGATTTGTTTTATACATAATGTCTTCACTGCATTACAGGTTATCTTTTGTTTCATTTTGTCCAACATGGAAAACCTTTTCTAACCGATTTTCTTATGAGCTAAGTTCATTTATTCATTCAGATTAAACTCACCACAAACTCTTGTAAATGTGCAGTTTAGCCTCTACAGAAAAATGTGTGGTAACAGAAGTGACACAGACTCTCCCTATATTTTACAACTCGGCCATCAAATAATTTAATTCAGTCATATTTGTATTCACTAACTGGCTCTTGCTCATTCATGTACCCTCTGTCTCGCTTAACTAAAGCCTGAGCTTTTAGACCTTACATAAGGCCATTTACAGCTCTGCAGCTCCTGAGCTGCCAATCAAATGTTTTATCAAAGTTTTCTAGTCCACAGTTTACACTGAAATATTTAAATGTATTCATAGTTTCATTCCTCTGTGGATATGGTTCTGAAAACTATTATGTATCTGTCCGTCTGACACTGACAAGAATGCTTTCACCACATGAAGAGCTTTGTTTCATTCTGGCCTGAATACATCTGGGAATATACTCATTTCCTGGCATCTATCATTCAACAGAAACATTGAGCCAAGATACAAAAATGGTGTATTTTTTCATCCAGACACTCGATGGACCTGGTGTTTGTTGGGAAAACCTGCATAATTATTTGTGATGGAGTCCTACACCCAGCATCTCTCATCCTCAACAGTATCTTCATTTGCATATGGCTGCTGCAGAAAAGTGGTGCTGTGTTGGTGGGTGCAGATTAGAACCTTAACACAGGAAGTTAA